AAGAATTCACAGCAAAATTATGCGAAAGTCACGAGATCGTATGTAACTGAGCCAGATCGAGAAGGCAATTAATCATCAAAAGAACTCACTTTTTTTTCTTTTTTTTTTAAAATCATTTAATGTGTATGCAGCTATCTAGCTATGACACATGACCGGTGCTATATATACATGATGGATGCCTCTTTTGACGTTAGAGACACTCATACTTTGGATTTCATTTGCAAATACCACTATGAGGAATGCTTGCTTACACAAACAGTCGACCCTCCTCCGTAAGTACCCCCCAAAGGGTAATTCAAAACCTTTGATTATCCAAGCATGCCTTCATCATCCATGTATACCAGCGCCGCGAGAAATGTGGTCGTGCTTTGCCGGATTCGAACCAGTGATCTCCTGTCTCGAGTGGGATATGTGTCCAAACTAACCAAACTCTTCTTGGCAGACCGGCCAAGACGATGTACCACCGCACCATCCAACCATGGCGATGTTTATAGTGTCGCCTGCACTCTCGCAACCGAAGCCTTGGCGCGCACAAATCTCAATTTGTAAAAACTCCTTGCCAAATTTCAAAAATTCACGCCCGTCGAGACTGTATCCATCCTTCGCATCATCTTTTGAACTTGTACTGATCTCTCACGTCCATCCCAAAGAACTGTCTCCCAGATTTGTGCTACACGCTTTGCTTCCTCCGGCGGGTGTAAATATCGGCGTGACTCACTCATTTTTTTGCACCACTCACTCCTTCAATACTACTACGAGACTCTAATTTTAATACCCCTGACTTTGATCCCTAGTCAGTCCCAACAAGTACATGAGGTTATTCTAGTATCTTCTTCAATGCCCTCATGTGCGCAATTAGTAAGTACCATATCCCTGTTATTGATCTGCATCTTGCTTATGAACTGTATCCCAGCATGATAGACTTACGTCTGCTTACAGAACCTGATCTAGGCTGGCTCTACAAATGCTTATGATATAGTGTCATAGCTAGTTTGGCTGCATACACTTAATGTTTAAAAAAAAAAACAAAAAGCTTATGTCCTGCTTGTGTGTAACTAGTGACTAACTAGCCAAATAATCTGTTCACTAAGAGAAGTTGTCTATGTAACCTTTATACGCCTCTCCTGCCAGAGGACAAGAACAAAATATCGCACCATGGTTCTCTCAACGAACCTGGGAGTGAAATATTCTCCCAGAGCCAAGTTCAGTACAGTTATGCAATGCCAACAAATTTGGGGCATGGGGCAATGATTCAAGATACTACGCCATGCCAGTCTTTCCCTATCAACGAGATTGATTCCTATCTGAGCCTCATCAAGTCTGCAAGTAAGACCAATTAAATCCCCATTTCTGTGGCTACACCTGTCGTCTACTATTCCCTGGCCTCAGCTAGCGACTAAATAATTACCCATGACAACATCAATACCCGTAGGAAGACAAGTTCGTGGCACACAATTTTTTGAAGGAGTTCTTTGTGATAGTCACGAGAGAAATTAGGACAAGCTGACTAGATGATGTAAAGGAAGTACAATCTCGACGGTATAGCACTTGGATTTTGGGCAGGAGTTTTACAAATCGAAAAGCAATATGCTCGCCAAGCCTTCGATTGTATGAATGCAGCTAACGCTTTAAAAACAAGACAGCAATGAAATGTGCCGTGGACCGCCTCCTGATAGTGATCTCTGGTATAGTTTGAGTGGCCCAGGAACCTACTCCACTTGGGAAGGAGACACCTCAAATCATATTTCGCGCGGAGAAACTTTAGTGGATGATTGAGGCATGTCAGGATAAATCAGGGGTTTTGAAACGTTACCCTGGGTGAGTATTCACGGATAAGGGTTGTCTTGGTGTGAAGAGAAAGCCACTGTAAGGTCGTAGTGGAACTTGCAAACGAAATATGAGGCACTAGTGCTCTACTTTTAAGGTAAGTCATTTATTATGTGCTTTCTTTCCGATAGTGTATCATAACTATAAAGCTACATATGCAATTAAAATCTTATGTAAAAATGATATACCACTTGCTTTCGCCGTAGAAAATACTAAGCTGAGATCGAGTTACATCTCCAAATTCAAGCTGGGCTCAATTTTCCTTCGCAGAAACACATCTAATGATACCTGTAACGATCGAGTAAACGATAATAAGATTAAAAAAGAGGAAAGATATTGCGGTACCAAATGCTGCAATTGGAGTCAGAGAAGTCCTCACTGTTTCTCAACAAATTCTATCGACTGTCAAGCAAACAAAGAGCCTACGAGAGCAAAGTAAAAGGTCTCTCCACCCTCGACAAAAGCAGTATTAGACTCACCGCCAACATTTTTCTTTCAAACTTTAGCTTATGAACCAAGTATCCAATAGGGCATTCAAAATACACGAGTTATCTACGAATCCGACGTCCGTTACGACTTTTAGTTGCTATTTTATACTTCTTCACGGTAATTTCTCTTGGTCAAGACTTTTCTGAAATATTTTCGCTACTTTTGGTCTATCCTACTGAACGAATCAGGTGAGGAGTAGAGGGGAGGCTAGGAAGAGAAATTCATTAGGTATGCACATTTCAGCTACACCCAGTTGTTTGGCCTTTTATACTGCTTCGAGAGTATAACTACGTCTTCAAATTCTTTCCTGATGGCAGTGATAGAAGAACCCCGCACTCAGTGGCTAGACTTTTCCTGGATGCTACACTCTTGGATGTGGCATTTTTTTTAAATTCATAGTGTATTCAGCTATCTAGCTATGACACATTTATAATTTAGAAGAGGAATTCACTTGGCTGGCACTGGAATAGAGATAATGGATGGCAAAAGGCTCCTCTCAGTATATGATCGACTGAAAGCCTCTGGGAGTGTTACCGCTAGATAGAAGCCGCGGAGAAAGCACGGGAGGGTCTGTAACACACTACTCGTAGAAACTCCTGGCCTATAGGTTGAAAGGACCTGTATGTTCTAACATAGTTATAGACTCCATTTGAAAAGAAATATATGACAGCGTGTATGTAAGTGTAAGAGACACAGTCAAAGTTATATATCACTGATTCAGGAGTGAGCTCGATAAAATACCAAATAATCTGATTACACTCACGCCACACAGCCACTGAAATATCCCTAAGTATCGTGAGGCGTTAAATTGTGACATACTCCAATCCAATATATAAGATCGAATCTGAAATCTAGACTAAATTGAGGACTCACGAGTCCGAAGCAATTTATTTCTCCATTTTCAAAAGAATCCAAAGTTCAGAATAACCCTGTTGTAGAGACTGTTTTTCCAGAAAGATATTTCATGGGCATTAAATGGAAAGACGATGTATATTGAGTTCAAGTTGAAATATGAAAATATCGCAGTCCACATCATCCAGCTGTACAGCAAAACCTAGATTATACCTCCTATCTATACGCCTTTAGCGAACTAGAGATTGAGCTTATTCTTACTCTTTGTCCTGAGCCATCTCAGTAATGTCTTTGCGGGAGGGTTAAGAAAGAGAACTCCCATTCGATCTAATGCCAGAATTCCTGCAGCTACTCTCAAAGATGACACTCATGAGATGCTACCTCAGTAAGACGTTAATAGCCTTGATCACCTCGTGGTATTTTCCATCTTAACTGACTGACCTTCGACACATTTCTAGAGAGTTTTGAATATTTTAGCAATTAGAAATCCCCAAAATTCGTCAACACCGAAAAATACGTAGATCTGCCATCCTTGAGATCCTGTAATACTTGCGAAATCTTCTCTGAACGATGTCGTTTTGAATTTCGAGATAAGTTTCATTTATGGGCCTCATTATTTATATTGATAGAGGGTGATATTATGGCTAGATATCTTACCAACTCCTAATAGTCTACAGGGTGTGTACACTAAGCTTTTGCAATTCCTCAGTAATCCTGCGCTCCTGAAGGTGTGTAATATTTTACAAATTATCTAGTGGATAAACCACTATTATTGATTTCACAATAAAATCATGAACCAAGATGCAAGACTACAAATTTGGGTGTGTGTTTGTGTTTTATTGTACTACTTGAGTCTATGACTATCTAGCACATTGGGCTCCTCTCTGACCCAGGCCACACCTTGTACAGTGCTCCTATCCTCTTTTGTTACTTGAAAGATCATTGATATATTCCCCTTGATGAATAGCCATTCAGCTCAGTATTTACCCGTGGAATTCAGCCACCTTTTCCACGGAACCTTCTACCCAAAAAAAATAAAAATGGTAGCAATGGAAACTGCGTGCGCGGGAAAAAGTCTCAAAAAACCTGCAGCCCCAGCCAGGCGAGGCCTAGACACCGGGACCACATGAGGTGCGCATATTCATCTATATCTCCCTTCTTTGTAACATTCGAGGTCGACTTGATCCAATCCACCATCTCCGTATCGGGTGCTGGGTACGCTCCGGAAACTCATCGGATGGCTTTTCTTCCATGATCAAGGGTGGGTGACGAGTAGGGCTCCGACCCTACCATCTGATCTGATCGTGGTTAGCTTCATGATAATGGTGATAGGGGAATGTGTTGAGAGATGAAGACGATACAGACCGCGAAAGCGATTGGGAATCCTCTTCGAAGTGAGGACTTTGTTACTCAATCTCGGCTCTGCAGACTCTACAGTGAGAGCTGGAGGTTCGTAGGGGACACCACTGACAGGTGTTGAGAATAGTCCCCCTACAAATTTGGGTTGTAATACACAAAATGAGTTTTGTAGGTATATGACGGATTTCTGTGCTAGAAACTGAGTTCGTATCAGCTTAGATAGAGAATAGAAGCTCTAATATCTGACTTGATCTTGTCGATGGGGTTCAAGTTCTCAAGCAGTATCTACTAGGTAAAGTATGACTAATCACAGTATCTCTTATGAAAGTTTATCACGCGTAAACTTTTGAGTATCTAATTTTTTATACCAGACTGGTCTCTATCTTCAAGCTTAAAATTCTCATTGAAATTCTTTGACGCTTAGGAATAGAATCCGTACTTATTTGGTAATTTCTAAGTGTAGATTAAAAAATCTAATCAAAAGGAATTCTTCGCAATTGACTACCTGCAGCTGCGCTTTTTTTCATTTCCTGAGCCGCAGCAAAACTACTAGGTACTTTGATACCACAACAGTCACCCCAGCCTGTCACCGGGTGAGCATGATTTTTGTTAGGTTCTGTGTGTGTATGTCCAACTTCGTTTATCTCTGCCCCCTCTTTTACTTGTGAAAGATCTTCTTGAGTCATCCCATCAGCTGCAGGAACTAATGAGCCAAATAAGAAGTGTTGCATAACAGGAAGCTTCTTCAAAACCTCAGCAATAAACATACGCCGCATACCCGCTTCAACTTTAGCCCATGACTTTGCGGAAGAGATATCATCTAACATAGGCGAATGCCAACGGAGACCCTCAACATTTTTGACGCTATTGATAAAGGAAACTTGTCCCAAATACATATAGTCTTTGCCATATTGTTCAAGTATAAATTCTTGATGAATAGAAAGGGGTCGAAGATGCGGATGGCTCCGGAGCTGAGACGATCCAAAAAGAAACGGGAGAAATTGGTAGTCGTCTAGCCCCCATACTCCATGTGAGCCAGCTGGCTCGAGATAATATTTAGATTGTATAAGACGCATAAGTTCTAGATACCTTGTGAAGATAACTAGCACTAGGGGGCGGAAGTCTGAAGGTGTAATAAGACCAAGTTGATAAAGACATAGAAGCCATATCATGAAATTCAGTTCATGCCCAGAACCATAATCAATCCGTGAACCATCGCCAAAAGATTGAAGAAGGTAAGTTGAAACTTCAGTAATGGCGGCAGGAGGCATATCAAATTGTTCGTGCCAGCGAGAATGCTCTTTGTTGCAAAGATTCATGAAATTAGAGAAGCCTCGGTTACCAAAGCGTGAGTTTCCCTGATCTTCGGGTGGGCATAGTTCGACGGTATCCTGGACTTGATCAAGAATCTTCAATATAATCCTGAGTGTAGGACTAATATCTGTATCCTTGACTGAAGAAATGGGGGTGTCAGCTACCATATCAGCTAGGCCAAAAATAAAAGCTAGTAACAGCTTGTAGGCCTGTGAATCCAGGAAAAGGGCATGGTCATTAGCCGATAAGATCCGTCTGGATGGCTTCTTGAAATCTAAGCTTTGTAATTTAGGTGGAGCAGGTAAGCATGGAGTTTCGGGAATTGGAGAGGAGTCTTGTTGAACTCGTTTTCGAGGCTCTAGTTTGGGGAGTTTATCTCGTTGCTGCTGCGTTATGCCGATAATTTTGTTGCAGGGGGTTTCTGCTGTTAATGGAGCCCCGGTAGCCATTGTTATATCAATCCTTTGATCTACTAGAAATCAACACTATATACAGCAAGAATACTTGTAAAGTAGTGTTTACATTTTAATAAGTAGACAGTTGCAGTATATTGTTGCCTCAGTTGTATAACCCCCCGTCAGAGACGAACATTAGTTATCATTTTCAGAATCACGCGTTCTAGCTAGGTCAAAGCACCAATTAAACGAGCCTGTTTCTTTTAAGTCAAATCTTAAATGTGTATAGAACCAGTTTATTATAACTAAATATTAGACAAAAGGTAAAGAACAGATGATCCAATTTAAAAACAGAGCACTTATGCCTCAGATTCATGAAACTGACTAAGACAACGAATAGTCAGTAAAGGCGAATTCTTCACCTACTAGTGGTGCCGGTGTCATCGCTCAATATACTTTGCATTTCTGGGACAGCCAAGAAGAAATGCATCCAAATCGAAGTTGAAAGCAAACAGATGCAAATGTAAGATCGATAAGTTCTTGCCAATGTCGGACCTATCATTTTCACGCGAATTCTCAACCTCAATCTTACTACACCTCGCCTCTATAACCGATAAAGGCGTTACTCCAGTTGCAAACAGGAGCTTGTCTAATCTATTACCAGTCCTGCTACAAAATTACAATGCTACTCATACCCGCAAGGAGGACATTAAGTCATAATATACAAAGCTCGGGTCTTAATTATGTGAGACTGTTTCTCTAATGGGGTTATACAATTTGAGGAAGAATAGGGAACTGGAGCGTGGGGTGAAATAAGGAAGATATCTCCAATGAGCATGTTAGGACCTACATTTTCCAGTGGTTTTCGACTTTAGCATGTCTGTTGGCGCCAACATCAAGGCTTCGGCTGATTAACCACGAGGACTTATTTGTCGATGAGTCTACAGCACTCCTCAGGCCCCTAGAGGAAACAAAAGAAGTTGAGCTAAGCTGCTTTACAGCAATTGCAATCTGTTAAGACTTTTTTCACCTTTCATCACGACCTTTGGGAAAGGAGGCTAGAAAATCAGTGAGCAAATTTCCTTATGTAAACTCGGGTCTGCTGCGCCCGGCTGTCCGACCCCTCAGAACGCTTCGGAAGGGTAACTATGGCTTCGGATTTAGTCCTGATGTCGATACTAGAAGAGTCCCGTACTCAGTGGTTTTTTCGATTTTTCCTGGCTACCACACACCCGCAAGGGGGACTATTCTCAACACCTGTCAGTGGTGTCCCCTACGAACCTCCAGCTCTCGCTGAAGAGTCTGCAGAGCCGAGATTGAGTATCAAAGTCCTAACTTCGACGAGGATTATCAATCACTTTTGCGGTCTACATCTTCTTCATCTCCTAACACATTCCCCTATCACTATTATCATGTAGCTAAACACGATCAGATCAGATCAGATGGTATGGTTGGAGCCCACTCATCACCAACCCTTGGTCATGGAGGAGGAGCCATCCGATGAGTTTCCGGAGCTCACCCAGCACCCGATACGGAAAGGGTGGATTGGACCAAGTCGGCCTCGAATGTTACAGAGAAGGGAGATATGAATGAATATGCGAACTTTACTTGCTCCCTTGTCTAGGCCTCGCCTGGCTGGGGCTGCAGGTTTTTTGAGACTTTTTCCCGCGCACGCAGTTTCCATTGTTACCAATTTTTTTTTTGGGGTAGAAGTTTCCGTGGAAAAGGTGGCCGAATTCCACGTATAAATACTAAGCTGAATAGCTATTCATCAAGGTGAATATATCCATGATCTTTCGAATAATATGAGAGGCAAGGAGCACTGTACAAAGTGTGGCCTGGTTCAGAAGAAGCACAATGTGCTAGATATTCTATGACTCAAGTAGTACAATAAAAACACACACACATACCTGCGAATGGCCATCGTTTTGTAGGCTAGAGGGGATAACAAAGGGCTAAGAACCCTGAGTATGTGCTCAAATGAAGACCTATGTGGATTTCACTGCTGGAAAGAAGTAGTGAATGAGGCATAGGATGGATTACACCACCCAAGGCATAGATACCCCCGGCCTGTAGGCAGAAAGAATTTTCATATCCTTATTTAGTCACAGACTGAATATAAACATACATACAACCAAACTTATGGTTATTATGACATTTTTCGTCGTAGAATATCTTAAACCACGGGCTGTTGACTTGTCAGCACGCCGAATTTCTACTGATTATTAATCAGCTAAGATGTAAACATTCGCTTAGTGTAATTTCACAACTAAGTAGTACATCACGCTAGAGGTGGTAATTTCATGTAAATGTTTAAATCATTAGTTGTCCAATAATCTTTCGGATTAAAGTAGTCTAGAATGGCATTCTTGAAGGCAATTTCTAACAGCTAACAATCGTCGTATGGAAACAAGATCCTGGAGCTCAGGCAATCAAGTAATGTAATATTCACAGTGATACGTCACTCAAAATCCCACATCTTCTGCCATCTGAAATACCTCTCACCTTCTGTATCAATTGTCGAAGCGCCGACTCTCACGAGATTCACGCGGATGTACGAGCGATCCTCTCAGATGGTATGATGATCAAAATTCCGAGCCCATACTCTTACTTATTTGCAAGTTATGGAGCCAATCTCATCAAGTTCCAAAGTTACAGGTACATTAGGTCTATTTCCCCTAGCATTTCTCTAATTAACACAATCCTTAGTTGAGTACTTTGATCCATATTTTATCTACAGATTATTGTCGCCAGGCCTCCTTCAACGGCTTCCACTGAGAAATCTTCATTGGGAATCTCACGCAGGGCCCCTTCGCTCAATCTCTTCGCTTCATATCGATCTGGTTCCATCAGCTCATTCAGCACCAGCGGTCATCGAAGCTTCAAGTAACACACTTGGAACTCACTCCAGAGCTAGGAGTGAAGATTCGCTTGCTGTAGCTGAAGATGCCTTGCGAGCGCAATCCTTTGGTCATTTATCAGAGCAATCCGAGCTTCAATCAGGTCAGCAAAAAGTTTTGATGAAGGAAAGAAGGCATCAAATACCTGGACTACGCCAAACACCATATCTGAAGGTATTTCTCCTCCGATGCGACGATAATGAGACGTACAAGACTCACTCAAGACGACATGTTCGCCAGTGGATCAAGGAACACACAGCGCCAGCTCACAACACACCTAAATTTGGTGCGCAAGAGAATTATGATGCATTTGAATGGATGATAGTTCATGTAGTAATTCCTAATACAGCCGCAGCAAACCAACCAAGAGTCAGCGGAAAACAAACTGAAGAACCGTCCTCGGAGAAATCCGGGCCTCGCTGGCGAGGAGGCAGCTCGTCTACTCTATTAGAAAAGCTAAGGGCAGATTTCAATGGGTCAACGAAATCTAGCGCCGACAGAATCGCTCAGATTAGAATCGGGATAAACGACTTACCATTTGACATGATTCCTCGCGCAGTCCCAGTAGTTTTAAAGGCCTACACTGAGACTTCGCAAGAGCGTGAAAGTGGATGGCTAGATCTTATTTCAAAAATGAAGTCATTAATCCTAGCCTCATTCGACATAAGAGTCACTCAGTACGAAGAGGACATCCGTGAGAAAGATGCCCAAAGATCCCTGCCAGGCTGGAACTTTTGTACTTTTTTTGTTTTGAAGGAAGGTCTTGCGAGAGGCTTCGAAAGCGTTGGTCTCGTAGAAGACTCTCTAGTTGAATACGATGGACTAGCGGTCGGACTAGACGCAATTGTCAGAGAACAAGCTATTTTCGGATCGGGGGCCGAACATGGCGGTACATTTCTTCCGTTCACCAGTGAATTAAAATGTCTAGCAGAATCTGCGAGGCAGAATATTTTAAAAGATATGCGTCTAATAGATGAACCGCATATAAGTAGCCCGATTGTGTCACAAAATGAGACTCTGGACAACAGGGCTGAAATACCATTGAATTCTACAAAGAAGCATTATCGAGAGCTTATTTTAGCCAACAACATCTCCATATTCGACTTCAGATGTTATATATTTGCGAGACAATTGAATTTGCTGCTACGCCTCGCAAATGCATCATCATCTAAAGAAGAACTTCTTTCAAAATTACAGGAACAACGCAGTATAAGCCTTCAAGGTCTTGCTGCTAGATCATCTAACCCCCAGTCATGGGATGAAGTTGAGGATTTGGCTGTATTAGGAAAGGTTTGCAGAAGAAGTATGGAGTTTATTTCATCAATTTCACGTACCATGCGCTCAGATATATGGGCCTCGCAGAACGAGATTTCAAAAATTAGTGAAGTCAACCAAGCTACACTTAATTCTGTTACATTAGAAGTTATTGACAATATCGTGTCTTCTTTTACCTTTAGTATCACACAACAGATAATTGCTCAGAGTTCCACAAAATCCCTTCCGATACCTCCATCTACTCTAGTACTACCTGGTACTGGACTGCGCTCTGGTAGACAAGACTCAAAGCAAGCTATTCCGGAACCAAAAAGTATGATGCACCCTACTAGAAGCAGTTCTCTTGCAATAAGATCATATTCTCGACCATCATCAAGCCACAAAAATTCTTCCAGCGGACGTAGAGCGAGTACATCAGAACAAACTACAACTGCCCCTTCTTTTCTTAAAATGGGGTTAGAAGAGCTTGCCGCACAAAGAGCAGAACTCTATCTCTTATCTCGAAGTATTCTTCAACGGGCTGGTGCACGACGCGGGTGGGACGTTGGCTGGTCGGAAATAACATATTTACATAATAATAGTGCTGTTAAGCTTGAAGAAGTGGACCTAAATCAGAGCTCAGAAGAAAAACCAGAAGCATCTCATGAGGGGGCTATTATTCCGCCTACGTGCCATGGTATTGAAAATAAGCTTTTTCGTACTGCTCTTGAAGACAAAGATGATTTCTATAGACTTTACGAAACTTTTAGCGACAAAGCACTACGGCATTATACCGTTGCAAATCGTGTCCACTCTGTACAAGCTAGGGTAGCTGATTTGGCCTTACTAAAATATCATCGAAAAGACTATGCGGCAGCGGCTTCCTACTTTAGTCGCATGATATCTTCTCAAGGTGAGACTATTTGGACCAATGTCGAGCTTTCAATGCTCGCTATGTACGCCAAATGTTTACACCAGCTTCAGCAGAAAGAAGAATACGTTCAAGTAGCCCTCAAATTACTTTCGAAAATTGCAGCTGTTGAAAGTGAAAATCTCAAGTGCAAGGTCACGGCTAACAATAAATCTTACAATACGTTTTATGATCCAGTCCAGATTAACGGAAGTTACTTAAAAGAAATATTCGAAATAACTAAGACTCGTGCAGATCCTATCTCGATACCTCTTGAAAATTTCTTCGGAAAAGTCGAAATAGAGGGTGAAATCAGATACCACTTGGAAATGGATAATTTTTGTCTCAAAGTGAAATTATTATATCTTCTTGAAGACGAATTAGAAATCGAAAAGGTAAAAATAAAGATAAGTCCTATTTCTGCTGATATTGGCCGGGACATATGGCTTGAGGCCGAAGGATCCTGGGTGATACAGAAAGGCAATTTTGAGACAGTGGTTTATTCGAATGTTAGTTATTCCTGCTCACATTTTTCCTCTGACTTTTTTAGACTACAATCCCAGGTATCTACGTTGCCAGCTGTATTATTCTATATGGCAGCAACATAACTCATATTTACGACCAAGGGACCAGCACATTATCTACCACCAAGCAAGATTCTTTTTTTAAATGTCCCAAACTTTTAATCTATCAGAGATTAGAAGCCTTTAATGTCAAACTTCATCCTTCTGGATCTATGCACTTAGATCGCAACCGAACTCTGGATTTGGAACTCATGTCTGGTTGGAATAGTGTAAATACTGGAGAAATTAGTATCCGACCAGCTACTGCCGGTCTAAGGCTCCAAACAAGCGAGACAAAAGTTGTAATTGGATCCATAAATATTCTTCCATCTCAAGAAGCTGGAATCGTGCACTTTGGTCCTTTAGAACATCATTCAAGCGTTAGGATTTCAGTTCCCTTTACTCTCGAAAAGGAAGTCGACATTATCTCAATTAAGCTTGACGTTTCATACGGGACAGATAAAGGCAATTTTTTATTGGTAACAACGCTACCACTATCAATTTTGCTACCACTTGGTGTCAACGTCCAAGATTTTTTCAAACATAAGTCCTTATTCTCTAAATTCACTATTTCTACCGCAACGAGTCCAATTCGCCTTCTTGGCTCTAGGTTAGATGGATCTGAAGCGTTCCAGACAGAAGGTGGTTCAGAAATAGATACTCCTTCAATCATATTTACACATCAACCAGCCACTATTCTATACAAAATAACCAAAAAAAAAAGCCCAAAACCAACTGGATGTCATAAACAGGAAAGAGTGCTTTATCTTGTTTTAAAATACAAATGTTTGATGGAGGAAATTGAGCACACTATTACTTCAAATCTTGAGGCAGCGCTCAGGAATAACCCACTTCATTCCTACACACGATTTGTCGCTGGTCATTTATTTCACGAGATTCAACAACGATTTTCTCCAAATGATCTCGAGAAAGTAGCTCTATTCAATGAAATATCTACCTCGCTCCTGATTGATATCGAGTGGCGAGAGAAGTTTTTGGGAACTGGGTATCATCCAAAAGAGGTTGCTGTCTCACTTCCTGAATTCATTAATGAATGGTTATTTCAAAATCCAGTTATTCCCTTGATCAAGCCTATTACAGATGATGATTGCCTCATTCATAGTCGCTTAATCAAGATTCCAGTCGATGTTCCTTCAGTGAAGGTAGTTCATACAGCAGAGCTTCGACTTCTTGGGCTGACCTCGCCATATCCTGGAACCTTAGTTGCAGCTGCGACTCAACCAATCTCGGCATTTTTAAAAATTAAATGGACACGCATATGGGATGCTGAACAATTTTTGGGCAAATTTGAATCTAACGATGATAATGATAATGACATGACCTTTTTTTTTGAGATACTAGACGTATCTGACACATGGATTATAGGTGGAAGACGTAGGGGACATTTCACCGTTCCCCAAAACAACGCTTTACTTCTGAATTCCGAACCCTTGTCTTTTCCAGTTTTACTCTTTCCACTTCGATGTGGTTATCTCCCTTACCCTAGAGTTGAGATAAAGGTCTTAGCTTCACCTCAAGCTGTTGTCAGCTCGGAAGATAATGGCATGCAGAAAATTTCAACACAATCCAGTATCGATTGTGAGGTAAGTTATACAAACGTGGCGGAAGCTATTCACGTTGTAAATGATGCACGAGTGACAACAGTCAGCCTTGACGCAAGTGTTGTGGTTCAGGGACGGGATGAATATTGATAATGACTAAGTGTTAGTATTCACTAGGATTATTTGGTGAGGAGATATTCTCTATAAAAGCATCCACGGCGTAGATGGAGAAAGTAGCGATTGATTGGATATGTTGTAGATTTACCAATTCCGGGTATATATTAATCCGAGATCTGTAAGGCTTGTATGAAGACCGATCTCTTTAAAACTAGAAAATAGAACTGGCTTATGTTATAACGAACATGGTCTTTTTTTAAAATTAATATACAGAAAGTAATTCTCAATGAAGTTTTAACTAAGGCACAGCCTGGTGAGATGTAAATTCGCTCCATACCCACTGGAGTTCTAGATGATTTTGTCACCAGCAAATAATCAATAGTTGTGATTAGCTTCAACGGGTAAGAACTTACAACGTCTCGTCTGGATTAACACTCAGATGGTGTTCCGGCTGTATCTTTGTAGCGGAATCTATTTTATTCAAGAAAGGCAATAAAATGGCGTCATCGTTGGGTAATATTCTGAAATAATGACTTCATACGAGCAGGTACCGAGACATACCCGGTAGTAAAATGTGAAATCGACCACCACTGAGTATCCAACAGATGAAGTAGAACATTTTGTGCACGCCACTCGCTATTGCCTCTTCGAATGATAACTTACGAGGCACTACTCCTCGCTGTTATTTACCTCACTAATTTCATGATTTTGACGGCCCAATGCTTATCCCATCCATCACCGTAGGCTTTATGTTTAATGGAATTCGATGATTGTTGGCCCAAAAAATATTTCAGTGGATATTTAAAAGGTCCACTTTATCTTATTCAGCGTCTCTCTGTTCTTACTATTGTATCTTTCGTTTTGTACGAGATGTATGAGAGGATCGGGATCCTATTCTGTGAAAGTTTCTACCAGCGGGGAAGTTGGAACTGCTTTTGGTGTCAGTTTAGCTGTGGTGCTTGGCGAAGCATTGACATGACGTGATGGTTCTATAGCCCAAAGATGATTGTTTAACTTTCTGCAGGGAAGGGTCCTGACCAAACAGAAGTAATAAAATATTTCTGGTAGATAAGTCACTGATAAGCTCCCCTTGTTCACACTAAGAATCAGACTGGATTTTATCCGTTCGCGAATTTTTTACGTCACTGCTCTCGGGACACAGCTCTTGTACACTTTCGTTCTGTTTCCTCTGGCATTGACACTGGCTTGGTAGAGTACGGTGACAACACCTATGTCACTGTGCCCGCGAGAATGTAAGGAGAGAATAAATATTTAGCTCATAGTGGACTGAGCACTCTTCGGTCTACAGCCGTTTAGCCAGGTTCTATCACCATTTGCCAAAGCCAGACTAACAGACAGTGATGGACATCCGGGTTGAAAGTCGATTTTAATGAATCTCCATGTCTTCTCGCCATGCGGTATTGACGGATGTGCCAATGGTCGTGGGCGCAGGAGTCCCTAACTAGCCAACTATAGCGGAGAGTCGGACTATCATGGTGCCGGGATTCTGGGCGGCAGCTCCTTCTCGTTCCATTGGATACTTCGGGCCAAATTTTCGTGCATGTGCATTTGCGTACAGGCAGACGGCGCGCAGGAAATCACTAGATCATCGGTGTCAGAATCCCGATGCCATAAGAAGCTGAAGGGCGAGTAATTACGCACATCGGTAACAAAGTCCTTGAAATTGGCATTATTCGAGATTGTCCAGACAACACTTCTGGCGTTTGGGCGCGTGCGCTATACTGAAAAGGGGTCGTAGCGGTATGTCTATCAGGGAAAAGCCTGCCTTCGCTAATCTAGAGACAGTACTTGCTTTCTCCAACCCAAGTCATGAGGATTCTGGGTCCAGTTTAAGATGAGATTGTCGCGATGAAAACATCGGAACTTCTCAGCTCGGTCGTGAGCGCAATTTGCTGTGAGATCGAATTCGAACTACGATTTAGCGCCGTAATAGAAGATGTGTTGCGCGAGAGGTTATACAGCTTACCCTTAGCTACAGCGGGTTAGATATGCCTACTCGTTCATTATTCATAAATGAGAGCTTAAAGGGAAACCTGAATTAATCAGTACGGGATACATTCGTATTAAATAAGCAAACGTATCTCACAGTTAACGATAAAATAAATTTTGAAGATCTATCAAGAGATTGTACACGTGTCTCAAAGAAGGAATAGTCGCGCGAAAAGCGAGTATAACGTCTGATGCAAGTGTCTGAGACAAGCCAGGATGTGGATAGATTTCCGTAGTAGATGATATCCTTAACGTTTGTATAAGGGGGAGGTGAAATTGATATCTGCAGCCATCAAATCATTCATTCATGTAAGAATGTATAATAGACACAGTTTACTCTATATAATCGCTTACGCCCATTAATCTAGGTTGAGGCGAGGGGAGTTAGATTACAAGGAGATAGATGAATTCCAAAGTATTTCGCATAAAGTGTCGCGCAGGTGGAGCTCATTGAAAGCAGGCTTGTTCCATCTGATTTCTGGACGACAGCAATAAACTACTTAGCTAGATTCTTTGGCAGTAGAACGTTAAGTCTGGTTATGGCTCAAAATACTGGGCATGATTGAAATCGTAGAAGAAACCCTTTTAAATTTTCAAATAACGAAATTTCTTTTTAGGATATTATGAACTAGTGTTTCGTGCAATGTGTAATATTATCTTGGGAAATGTTGGTTTAAGTTAGGACGATTTAGCACTAACCTAATTGAAGGCAATAGTGTTGGTGTACATGAGACCTTGAACAGGATTATCGACAAGGATCATTGGCTAACAGCAAACTTGACCTAAGAATTTTTATAAATCAACAAATAGGACTTCTAGGCGAGAGGCGTTGCCTGCGCAATGGCATGTAATGCAGGATAACAGCGACTTTGAATAGATTGAAAGGGGCACAGGAAGCTGACAACAGCCAGTCAGCTTCTGAGGCTAAGCTGGAATCACGCTGATATGATAAATTTCGGACAATAACTTGCAGCTGTGCCTGAGTGGACAGACCTTGGGACGAGTAATTTTCACTGGGATTGGTTGTAGAGTCTGTGCAGAATTCTGCATGCCGGCAAAATAGGGACAGTGTCTGGGTCGCAGGAACTTAGTCAGGGACACGAGTAGTTGGTCGTGCTGGTACCTGAGGGCCCAGAATTTGCAAATGAGAGGTACGGACGATTGAAGGTAGGCATCTTAGACATAGCTGAGCCGATCGTGTTCGAGATTCGATGCCTATTTCTGATGCACCAAAATGTTGGCAATGGACCCTGAGATGGCAGATGTTCTAGACCCCAGCCTTCCCCCGAGTATCGATGTCAACGGCATGAGCGGGATACTGGACAAGTTGGCGCCACTGATTCTGGTGGTGTAGGTTTGGGTGGTGTTTGCTGAGCATGCGATCATTGAGCTAGGAGACTAATCATTTGCAGACCTATGCAAGTGGCGTCGGGGGTCAAGCTGTGCGCGTAGGAAGTTTCATACAACGCGAGTGGTGCAGTAATCTTCATGTCATCGAAACTCTGGGGATCTCTGTATTCTAGAAAGCGAAAAGGTTTAACTGACGAGCTCGTGCTGGGTGGTGGTGAGAAGATGAAATTTCCCTCCACGTCACGGCACCCCAAGCGCCCGCGCGCACCAAGAAATCGATCATGAATAGTTGCACCTTCTTATGCGTACGGGCCACACATTCTAGACCGTATCACGGTCCAGATCCTCTCGTCAGGACGCACTAGCGAAAGAAATTCGGACAGCCAGAAAGAGATGGCTGAGCCGGAGGTTCTGACCAGTGCCAATCGCCAACAATCATGTGGTGTTCTTTGGCTTGCAGTCTGCTTAGCTAAGCTGGCGATTCTCTTGCATCCTAAATTTCTCATGTACCTGATCTGATGGAAACCTTGAGAAAGTTAAATTAACTCAGTGTCCAAACATTTCGACGTGGAAGTCAAATTAAACGTGTCCCGACTTGACCTGGACCTTGTATGGCTACATGAGATGTAAAGACGACAGGATCTGCTCGCTACCTGATGTTGAGACGCTGCTCATTTGTTAGGCGTCGAATTGAGCGTCCGGGGCACCAGGTCAATGGATAGTAACAACGCTCACAGACTAGCTGATACTAGATCATCAGTTGTTTCCAGTCCTCAACCATATCCAATCGAGCAAATTCTGCTCTCTCCCTATGTCTTCCCTTCTAACCTGCAACGAAAGTGAGCCACGCGACCCAGTCAGGGCTCGGCACTCAGTCTCCCCGAGGACTGTGCAGGTGGGACCAAGCAAAGCGCGGCGTAACAAATAGAAAGCGCATGCCGTAGCTGACATGTCCCAACTGACCAGGGACTACATCTGCTGTTCTTTGCGCATGAGGTACAGATCGGACGACGGCGGCTTCGTGTACACAGTGCAGACTTCTCGAGACCCACGAGCCATCCGGCGCAATGGTCCTCTCGTGTAGAAACTCAAGCTCTTGACGGGTTGGGCTGACTTTGAAACCTCGTCACAAAGTTTGCACGAACATGCACGCGATGAAGACACGCACAAACAGAGATACACTTTGCCCCGCTGCAGCAGCTCCTCCTTCTTGCAGCCCATTCCGCTTTTTCCGCATCCACGCACTAGCTTGTCACCCCTCCCTTCTCCTTCCTCCCCATCCCTAACCCTTCTCCCCTATTTCACCCCTTCCTCCAACTGGCCATTTCATCCATATAGTCTCTCCTTGATCTTATTTCGCTCGCGACGCTATATTTTTCAACATCTTTGTTAAACCATCTCAACCCAGAGCAGTCCTGAAGAGACTCTCGATTACACTCCTTAATACCCAACCGCACCCTCCTTGAAGGCAGGATACCATCGTTCTACACAAGCATATCGAGATTACTCACGCACCCTCACTCTTGCGCGGCTATCTCATTTTCTCTCAAAATAACCCCAGCCATAATCTAATTTACCCGTGCTTACTATCGTAAGAGTTCAATTTGCACCAGCGGCTGACAGGAGACTGACTCGCGCAGCATTGGGCAAAGTCACGCTTCTATTTCTGGGTCCAATTTAGAGCATTTCATTCCACATAAAATTTTGAGGTAGTCTTCGATTTAAAAAACAGTCGGCTCGTTTTAACATAGACCAATTGTGTTGCACCGATTCCTCAAGATGAAGTTCTCTTGCCTTGCGATTATCACCACTGCCTGTCTATCCGCAGCTCAACCTCATAACCACCGTCATCGTCACATGGCCCGTCATGGCTCTCGCATTGAGGCTAGAGACACAGCGACATCAGTTCAAGTCGAAGCGGCGATGGTTACCGTTTACGAATTAAATGGACAAAAGATTTCTTCAAACGACGTGGACTCGTGTCTCAAGGAGAATAAATGTGTGGTCCTTGGTGCTGGGTCGAGCTCTACCGAAAGTCAAGAAGATTTGAATACTTTCCCTGCACCAGACCAAGATAACTCTTCACCAGAAGACTCACCATCAACAGAAGACAATGCATCTCCAGAAGAGCCTTCCAACCTAGAACCTCCAGTCCCAATCCCGTCTACTCCAGAGCCACTAAAACCAGAGCCCCCAGTCCCAGTCCCGTCTACTCCAGAGCCTCCAAAACCAGAGCCCCCTACAACTGATCACAGAACGCAGCCTCCATCAGGAAAGCCCGAAGTTTCACCAAAAACCGCGGAACCTGCGCCAGAACTCAAAGTTATGCCACTTCCTGTCACTCCACCGCTCAATTCCGTAGGCATGAAGTCAGATGCAAATATATCTCAATCAGATGGCATAGATAACTCTGCATTTAGTGGCTCTGGTATAGATTCAACCAACATGCATGCTGTCGGAAGATTATTTCCAAGTGGCAAGGTTGACTGCTCTGAATTTCCGTCCAAATACGGTGCAGTTCCAGCAGATTGGATCCAGTTAAATGGATGGACAGGAGTACAGAAAACTTCCGAATATAACACTGCCGCAAAAGCTATTAGTCACATCGAGACAGCAGTTGCCGGAGAGGGCTGCGTACCTGGGTCCTTCTGCTCATACGCATGCCCTGCCGGCTTCCAAAAGTCGCAATGGCCGTCTGCCCAAGGCGCCACCGGTCAGTCTATCGGAGGCCTTTACTGTAACACCAATGGAAAGCTTGAACTCTCACGCTCTGCCGCACCTAATCTTTGTACTCCTGGAGTTGGAGACGTTAAGGTCAGAAACTCTCATTCAAAGAACGTCGCTATTTGCCGAACAGACTACCCTGGAACAGAAGCAGAGACCATTGCATTGAACGCACTCCCAGGATCTACCGTCAAAGTAACATGCCCCGATTCGAAGGAATACTATCGCACACAGGATGACGGGCCAACATCCGCACAATACTATATCAACCCGTCTGGATATGACGTCAAGGATGCGTGTACCTGGGGCACTGCAGGTTCGAATCTTGGTAACTGGGCTCCCGTAAACATGGGCGTCGGAAAAGGTGATAGTGGCTCAACGTTTATTTCTCTCTTTCCAAATGCCCCAACCAACCCGAACGGAGTTCTTGATTTTAACATCGACATCAAGGGCGATGTCACTGGTTCATGTTCTTATCGCAACGGTAAATATTACAAAGATGGAGTTGAATCTCCGACTGGGTGTACAGTAAGTTTGCCCCACGTTTTCTGAGGATACAAAACTAAAATTTTAGGTTGGTGTAATGGGCGGTGCAACATTTGAATTCTCTTAAGCAATGGTAGATCAAACAAAAATCATGGTAACAGTCTCTGCCATCATGTGCAACATGCTTCAACGAATCATATGGGACCTAACTAGCTTGATTCCCCCCTCGATGGCTTTTCAGCTCGCTATCTGCAACCAGTTGCCAAAAGACGAATTCAAAGGTATCTTTAAGTAGCTCATAATTGTAAAGTTCATGGTTTTGGAGCTTTTAGCTTTGTATAGTTTTCGTCACGTTTGACCATCGACTTCCACAGGCTTTCGATAAGTACGTGTTCAAGCTTCATGGTTTTTTCATCAACTGGTGGCGTTAGGGGTTGTCAAAACTTTAGAAGTTACCGGCTTCCTTCTGATGTTTTCACTTTTAAAAATGTACTAAAAAAGTCTGCGCGTAAGGCTATCATGAATCTGGATGCTATAGTTTCTTTGTGGAAGTTGCCAAAACGTTATCCTGCGAAATGAAGTTCTGCTGCATGAGATGATAATGGAAGATCAATGATTGGCGAGATGGCAGAACTAAGTATCAACGAAAACGTGAGCGATTTATGAATCTAACAATTGGCACTACTTGGCTATAGCCGAGTGCATATCTTAACCTTGTGCAGGGCACAAGTCTCTATTCTTATACAACATGGTTTATCTTGGGATGAAGAGGGAATATATTTTTCGGTCTCTAACCTCGAGTCTAAGATTCAGTTCTTTTTCTGTATATAAGTTAAATTTGGCTCTAAAACTACTATTAGTCCTCATACTAAATCACGTGAACGCGCCTATAATTAATACTGACATGTATACGCATGTAATGTACATTAACTTTCTGAAATCTATCCTCCAAACATCAGATCATCAAGTCGGATTGGCCACGGCCCAGATGTAACAAGAGAAACCAAAGAATCACAGAAAGTATATCACTACTGCTGTTATTTTTGCTACTGTAGTCGTCCTAGAGAGTCCCGGCACAATACTAACAATTAGGGGCTTTTTTAAGCGAAGCGGCACGAAATTTATTCGGGCAACAAAAATAAGCCATTGCAGGAATCATTGCGGAGACAAAGCGACACATTTCGCCCTCACAAATGTCCGGGTCGAAACTGGATCGAAAATTTCCGAAAAAGAGAACAGTAGACACGCACCCACCAGATGTTGTGAGTGAAGGACTAGGCAAGGACCTCAGCCATATCAACGAGGAAACGTGGATTGTCGGCGCCGAAGATGTGCAGTGTGCTGCTGGCAACTATGCGTCAATGGACATGGGTCTAGGTTCTGATCCAGAGCCAGATATGGAAGTGAGCAATGGTGCATTAAATGCAGGAACAATTCAAAGCTCAACAGGCTCTCGTGGCACTGTAAGACACAATGGTGACAAATGGTGGACGCGCATGATCAAGCGATATGGGAGTTTGGAGTTGGAAAATAAGGGTAGTGTTGCGCGGGATCACTTAGCATTAGGTCTGTCGCTCCTCCCTCCCATCACATCGATGACTTGCTTATTTCTGACCACCCCCGTCCAGAACGCACCTTTCTCGCCTGGCTCCGTACTTCTCTTGCTTTTTCATCCCTCGGCATCGCTATAACGCAACTCTTCCGCCTCAAGTCTAACCCCGATCGCCCCTATGGCTCTGAGCCTCCACTATCTCAAGACCGTTTACGCCAAATGGGTAAGCCCCTGGGCACCACCTTTCTCATCGTCAGCATCATCATCCTCATCCTAGGATCCCATCGCTATTTCGAGTGCCAACACTGGGTCGTCCAGGGGAAGTTCCCAGTAAGCCGCGGTAGCATTATTTTGGTTATGGCCCTGAGTTTCGCCTTAATTGTCGCTAGCCTCATGGTTGTGATTGTCGTGGGACCGTCGCCATCGAAAAGTTATGGTTAGGGCATTTGATCGCTGCGGGATGAAATGAAGGGGTCAATCTAAAAATCCGTTTCAAGAAGATTGTGTCACTATGTGTTGGCTAAGTGTTTATATCTGATGTGATGTCATTTCTCCTGCCCTTGGTTGTTTCATTGTCCCATGTTCGTACTTTTGAAGGGATGGGAGATTTCATACCAGCATTGGATAGTTTACTAGGTATTGGCATAGTTTATCGGGATATAGTTAGGTTAAAGCTAGTCTATATTAGGAATAGTTCATATAGGGGTGTCCTAAATCCTCGTCAATAAGAGATTACCGCCTCTGTGGCCAGACAAAACTCCTTTTACCTCGCTGACCCTTGGTCTCCCACGGTACGATACATTTAACGCAGGCCCTCTAGCACACGATTATTTATCTTCACACGATGGAGCGTACGACCGTCATTGATATCCCCAGCTTTGCTAGCACACAAATTCATCTCCTCACACACGAATTAAACGTTTCGTTGGAGGAAAGCAGGTTCTACCTCTCATACAATACTCCCAAGATCTTACAGCGGGCAGGACTGGCACTGACGAATCTGGTATCGGTCGCGCAGCGGACTGGACTGGGTGGAAAGACCATTATCGAGCTAGCGCCTGATGCGGCGACAGGCGATGAGGATGCACTGGCACCGCATAGTCTACGGGGTGGGGACATTGTAGCGCTTGCCGAACAGCCGGTTGCTGTTGCTGCACGAAAAGCGATCGGACGAGATCCGGCTAAGGCTGGGGCGCGCGGAGTAGTGGTGAAGGTGACGAAATCACGGGTCTCTGTTATTCTCGAGGAAAAAGAGCAGCTGACACCAGCGGAGCGCCAAGAAAATGAGGTATTGTTCTCTGGACAGCGAAGGGTTTGGCTTGTTAGACTGGCAGATGAAGTGACGCATAAACGGATGAAGGAGACAATGGAACGGCTCGGTCGCATGGGGGAGAGAGAGTATTCACAACTAATCCAAGTCACTTTTGCACTAAATACGCTATCTCCAACAGATGAGGTTTTAGTTACTGAGTGGTTTGATACTACGTTGAATCAGAGTCAGAAGGAAGCGGTACAATTTGGCTTGGGCCGTCCTGACGTGGCTCTTATTCATGGTCCGCCAGGTGTAAGTTTTGGCTGCTAGTAATTCTCGTGACCTCTCATATTAGATTACTCCGTTGACTTTTCCTACCACAATACAGACAGGCAAGACCCACACACTTATCGAACTCATTCTACAGCTACTAAAGCGTCAACTTCGCGTATTGGTATGTGGTCCTTCGAACATCTCGGTCGATAATATCATGGAGCGATTAGCGCCGCACAAAGTTGCTTTGGTGCGCCTCGGTCACCCGGCGCGTTTGCTGCCATCCGTGCTAAACCACTCTCTAGACGTACTCGCACAATCCTCTGATGCGGCAGCAATAGTCAGAGATGTGCGCCAAGAGATGGAAAGCAAGCAGAAAGCTCTACTCAAGGTAAAAAGTGGCAAGGAGAGAAAACAGCTGTACGCCGAGCTGAAGGATTTGCGCAAGGAATATCGTACAAGAGAGCGGACGGTGGTAGAACGTTTGCTAGGCAATTGTAGAGTAGTGCTTACAACACTTCATGGTGCTGGAGGCTACCAGCTTCGAGCAGAAAAATTTGACGTCGTTATCATTGACGAGGCTAGTCAAGCTCTCGAGGCGCAGAGCTGGGTCGCCCTTCTTAGTGCTCAAAAAGTGATTCTCGCGGGAGATCATCTGCAGCTCCCACCGACTATCAAGTCACGAAATACCAAGCTCAAGATTACAACCCCTTGTAGCAAAGACATCATGCCAGGATTGACTCTGGAAACAACTCTTTTCAGCCGCTTGCTAGAGTTGCATGGCCCTGGAATCAAGCGAATGCTTACGACACAGTATCGTATGAATGAAAAAATTATGCGATTTCCTTCGGATACGCTGTATGAGTCTAAGCTTATTGCGGCAGAGGCTGTGAAAGGTATACTTCTGCGAGATCTTCCATACGAAGTTCAAGAGAATGAAGATACAATTGAGCCCCTTATTTTTTTTGACACTCAAGGTGATGATTTCCCGGAAAAGAATGAAGAAACCTCAACGGATCCGAAAGTATCCAAGTTATTAGTTGGGGAGAGTAGAAGTAATGAAATGGAGGCCGCGTTGGTGAAGGTTCACATTGAGAACTTAGTAAGTCATTTAGCATTCATATAGTATCACGGACTTCTGACATGCTTCGCATATAAATTTTGGTGTTAAAGCAGAAGACATTGCAGTAATAACACCATATAATGCTCAGGTAGGCAAGATTTTCTCGTCCCTATTTCTTCATGCGGATACTTCTTTTTTAATCTCGTTCACTGAAGGATTAGTCAAAAAATATTCTGCCTGTGAAATATATTTGCTCCGATAAGGCGAAAGCTATCTGTAAAAAAGCATTCTTCGCTTGCCTTGCAGTCTCTTTCTCCGGCCCTGTAAGATTGAAACTGATTAATAGTAGCTCACCTTACTATCGCACGCCTTAAGAGATAAGTTTCCTGGTCTTGAGCTGGGTAGTATCGACGGATTTCAGGGTCGAGAAAAGGAGGCAGTTGTGGTTAGTCTTGTTCGTAGTAATTCCGAACGTGAAGTGGGATTCCTCGGAGAGAAACGAAGGCTGAATGGTAATAAAATAAGCCTGAGTTAGTTGGCATCGATGCTAATGAGTGCTTTCTAGTTGCGATGACGCGGGCGCGGCGTTCACTGACGGTCATTGGGGATTCTGAAACCTTGAGGTGAGATTGTCCCAGCGTATCTTTCTACCACCCGCCACTCTTTTCGATCTGGCTACACTAACCTTGTCGGCTAAACCCAGGAGCAATGACTTTTTGAGGCGCTGGATAGATTTCCTGGAAGAACATGCTGACTTGCGATATCCTTGTGTCTCCCAATTACTAGCTGCGTAGATATTTGTTAAAACTTGAATTGTTAGATACCTAAATGAATTTATATTGATTTAACGAGAAATATGTAAGCCAAGGATATACCTCCCGCATCTCACAACTCTCGCTGTGGATTTCAAAGACCCTTATATTCTTGGCGCTATATTCATAACCGCTGGAAGAGAGCGCTTTCTTGAGACTAACTTTTTGTCTACGGTGTGTTACCTATGGAACAGTAATGCCTGACCAACGAAATATTTTATTTAGCTAGAATCACACATAGATGCTGGCGAGTTTGAGTTTGATTGCTATTCGTATCAGGCATGTGCCCTACACCCAATAGGCGTGATACGGGTATGTGATCTATACAGACTCACTACTACCTACGTGCATGGCTTTACTTGCCATAGATGCTGGCGAGCATGGTTTTGATATCGCCTTGTATTCTCAGCGGCACATGACTTTATACATCCATGCCAGAAATTAACATTTGTTAATGCAATTGAAAATTTTCATATATTTTCAGGTCTCCTCAGCGTCAACGAACAGTTCATCCCCGATTACTTAGCTCAGTGATTTATTTCTCATCAAAAGTGGCTCATCTGGTCTTTCAACTTTGTAAATTACTTTGGTCATAGCTTAACGTGCGCGTCAGATCGACTTTACGTTTTACTCCAGATAAAATGTCTCCATTTGTGTTTAACACATTCTCGAAATCTAAACTTTTAGAGAATAATTGCTGCGAAATTCGTCAAGGCTGGGACAGACATTCGGATTTCGAGTAAATTCTATTACCATAGTTCTATGGTCTGACCCTCACACTGCTTAGGGCATCTATTTTGTTGACACAATTCTTTCGTTACCAAAAACTCACAGCAGCTGCCAGAATTGCTATCCAATCCCGCGAGTTTGCTTTCATGTCGATTAAAGATGAAAGTTAGGCATGTCGAGATGGGCGTAACAAAGCTTGCAAAAACGCCCGAGAAGCAAAGAAGTGTAATTGATAAGATGCAGTAACAAGAGTATTTATGGAGATACTTGATTTCTGGGACTAGGCCGCAAGCGAATTGATTTTACTTCGACGCAGGTGCTGCGGCTCATAGTCTACCCAGCCCATCATAACACAGCACAGCGTCGTGAATTGGGCTACGCCACAAAAATTACTCTCTCTACCAGCCCCCGGCACCCTTACCACCAAAGCCAGCGTCCTCAATTTTCTTCTGACCGCCGCTGCCGCGCGTACTCTTCTGCTGTGCATGCTCATGTTTCCGGAGCTCTTCGGGCACGCGACTTAGACTGCTCTTCATAAGCATCTGCTTAAGATCGTAGAGATTCTCAGAATCTTCATTCCCTAGAAATGTGATGGCAACTCCACTCTTACCAGCACGGCCGGTACGACCAATGCGATGCGTGTAGCTTTCAATATTAGTTGCCATGTTAAAGTTGACGACAAGACTGACGTCAGGTACGTCTATACCACGCCCGGCGAGATCAGTCGCGACGAGGACATTAGTGCCTCCCGAACGTACAGAGGCAAGCGCTGCCTCGCGCTGCTCTTGTGTCTTACTACCATGCAACGTGACCGAAGAGAAGCCCATATGCTTAATATCGCGAGCTACCGCATCACAATTTCGCTTGATATTGACAAAGACAATGATGGGCGGGGCGAATTCACCCGATGCGAGAATTTCATTGAGTCGCTTCTTCCTCTTATCTTCGCCTGAAATAAACTCTACTCGCTGCTCAACCGTTTCGACCGCTTCGCCAATATTACCAATGGTAACGATAGCGGGTCTACGGAGATACTTCTTCGCAATCTTTTCTACCGCCGAAGGCATAGTTGCTGTATACATCATGGTCTGTCGGTACCTCTCTTTCCCACCAAGATGTCTGCTCATAGCTTGAGCATCTTCGGCATCGTCGGTGTCGGGCTTTTCGTTGCCAACGGGGAGGGCATCAAGAATTTTGTTGACAGATTCCTCGAATCCAAGATCAATCATACGATCAGCTTCGTCCATAATCACGTAGCAACACTGGCCGAGCACCAGCATACGCCTCTCTATGCAATCGACGAGACGACCAGGAGTTGCAATGATAATCTCTGCTCCATTGCGGAGGTTGTATGATTGTTCTTCCAAGGAATGACCACCCACAATACTGACGCAAGTGAAACCCAAAGGCGTCGCAAACTTCCTAGCTTCAACTTCAATTTGTTGAGCTAATTCACGCGTTGGCGCTAAAATGATAGCATAGGGGCCATCATTTTTTGTAAGCTCATTGAGTGGAGGTAGTTCAGAAATATAAACTAGTAGTGGTAGCAAGAAAGCAGCTGTTTTACCTGATCCGGTGACAGCTACTCCAATGAGATCCCGCGCTTGCAAGGCAATCGGTATGGCGGCCCTTTGTACTGCAGACGGTTGATCATATCCAACCTGAGCAACAATTTCAAGGAGGCGCTTTGGTAGGCTTGATTCCAGCCAGCTTCGCATGGGATTCGGTATACCACCTCCTTTGGTGCTAATATTAAAATCTTCTTTGAAAATACGCCAATCTCTTTCGCGCATGTGCTCCAGTTTCTTTTCACTCCAATGTTTATCAAGAAAACCTCTACCCATCCCATCTTCTCGCCTTCTCCTTTCCATCTCCAACAGCTCTTTTGCACGGGCATTACCAGCCTCTGTATCACGTTCCTGCAAAGCTTTCGCGTACCTTAATGCGCCCGAATCACCTACATCTTCAGCAAACCCACCGAGGCGCCCTCGGCCATAGAACCCTGCTTCTGTACGCGTGGAATAAATAGGGTTGTAGTCGGGACTAGTATCTTCCTCGGCATTCCACTCAAAATTGAATTTTTTTTCGGTCGTACGGCGCCGTTTTTTCTTGGCCGAAAAGGTAGATTGATTAGTTTCAGCGCCCATATACCTTGTCCTGATTAGAGCAGCTTGAGTGTCATCACCGTTGGCAGGACGCTTTTCACCTGCTAACGATGCTTTTCCCGTTGACGGCGCAGGTTTAGTGGGCGGCGCCATTTCGCCGCCACGACCTGGTGGTCCATGTCTCTCACTGCTAGGACCGGATGGTGGACTTCCATGCTTCATGAGGCGAGGTCCAGTTGGTATAGCCTGTAGTCCCCGAACTACCACTGATGATGCCGTAACAACTGGCTTTGAATAGGTAGGATCCGATACAGCTTTACGTTTCTGTTGCTCGACCTCTTTGGCCCGTTTTTCGAGAGCTAGCCTCTCACGAGCCGCCTTTGAAAGGAACTTTGGCTACAATTGGATGCGGTTAGCTTTGAGCGCATCAAGACTACTTTAAGCTTTTATTAATAAAAAAGAAATCGGAAGTGTATAAATACAAGAGGATCAACTATCTTACTTTGGCTGCGGCCTCGTCAATTTCTTTCTTCTTGCTGAGAATATCCTCGATACTGAGGGGCCCTCGACCCTTCGATTTTGTCCCCCAGCCTACTTTCTTCTTCGAAAGCTCAACTGGGGGAGGTGGCGGCGGGAGGTCGCTTGGAGGAGGAGGTGCATCACTGCTAGGAGGCGGCGGTGGAGGAGACGTTTGTCTGTAAGGTCTTTCAGAAGGTGGCGGCGGCGGTGGTGATGGTGGTGGCGGTGGAGGCACGGCTCGACTGTCAGTTAGAAATGCTGCCATGACGCTTGATCCCTGAATTACCAATTGAGGAGTTGTCAATGAATGTAGGAATACTAGCAGCGACAGAACTTTAAAATCGACTTTGAACGCTACATTAATATGGCGAGGCTGAGTACACAGGGCTTCGCGGCAGCAGTCAACTATCCTGCAATAAGCGATCTTAGTTTAAGCAGAGCTAAACCGGCATTGTTTTACTCCCAATTGCGTCGCAATCATGACGCGACCTCACGATTTGATAAAACTCGCACAGGCCCTTCCGCCTAGGCTAAAGCGATTCATTGCGCGCTATCAACCTATCTCCATCACTCTTCCTGCCAGTGGTCAAGTCTCCGCGATCAAGCGACCCAACCCCTTCAAGTCCACGCGCGATCCCATCACTAAACGATGGCATGATCCTGTTTTCTCCCTCCGCCGTCAGGCTGACTTGGTAAAATTAGCCCGAAATCACGGAGTAGAATCACTGCTTCCACCGTCTATCAAGAGTACGAAAGAAAGAATCCGGAAGCGTCTCAGACATGGAAGGCAAATGAAAGGAACTGGTGAAGGTCAAACTGTCAAGGGAAAGCAATCCGAGAGGACGATGAAAGCCCGGTAAGGACTAAAGATGCTCGCCATCTTAATTCCACATTCACTTGTACCATGCTGACAAATTATGAAAGTCTCGAGAAGCGAAGACAAGCCATGTTAGACATGCCGCAGATGATACAAACATGGAAAGAGGTAAGTCAACTCTCACAACTCAAAGGAAAAATTCTAAAATTCTTCAAAGAGAGGACACGGTCGTGGATGGAAGAAATGGCCAAAGTGAGAAGGTTTAATGTTGGTACATTGCGGTACCACACAATAATTGATGGAAGGGTACAAGGCCAATAAACTTGTTAAATCGTCACATTTTTTTCTCTACTCAGCGGCAGATAACAAGTGTATCTACAGTTGACAGTAAATAGATGTGTGTATTTCTGTAGGTTTAACAGGTACTATCTAAATACACACCTGTAACTCTTTAGATAAGTCGCACACAACCATGCTTTCGTAAGGTTAGAAAAGCAGAATGATTTCATCATTTTCGAAGTAGTACTATGAGTACCAACGGCTCCCTCTAACATGTATATCTACAAACTTTTTCGCCACTGCAACCGAACAAGACGCCGCAAATATCATGGTAACGCCAAATTCCGCCGTCAGATTGCCTGGAGCACGTTGTGCTATGAATCAATCTCCTTTGAACCAAAAGTTTCTCTGGCACTCATCTTTAACGGCTTTTGTCCAAGCCCATTGTGATTACGAAAGAAGTAAACACCCTTCCCCTCTCCAATTGCACCATCTGACGGCTCGACCCACTGGCACCAGCGTGCGGTAGTCCACAAGCTCTTCAAAAATCCGATAGATCCCCCATCTACGTTAGAGCGATAATGTTTGCCCATGACTTTTTTTATGGCCTCTGTAGCCTCGTCTGCATGATAAAATGGGATTGTGCTCACGTAATGATGGAGGACGTGGGTTTCGATTATCCCATGGAATAGTGTGCGACCAATGAAACCGAACTCACGGTCTATTGTGGCTGCAGCTCCACGAACATAATTCCAGCTTGCACCCGCATAATGGGGCAAAGATGGGTCGGTATGCTGCAGGAAAGTGATGGCTACTACAGAAAAGTTAATTTAAGAACTTCAATTATTCTCTTTCTTTCCTTCACGTACCAAGCCAATGGTTTACCCATAGGTAGGGAATAAAATACCAGATCGTCATGTTGCTGATACCATAGACTCTACAGAGAATTGCAAGAATCATGGCCATTATTCCGATTCCAATGTCACTAAGTATAATAAGGCCAGCATCTTTGGATTCAAATAGTGGACTACTTGGATCAAAATGATTTACTCCGTTGCCGAATCCATTCTTCTTTCCTATACCACGACCTTCAGATTGGCGTTCGTGAAAGTCATGCCCAGTAACATTTGCGAAAAGATAGAGAGGCCATCCCAATAGTTGTTGAGCAATAGAGTGTAATAAGGTCATGATGGGAGCCTCCTCGGTTAACTCGTCTATTTCATGGAGAAACTTTCCAACACGGGAGGCGAATACTTCACGTGTTTTTGGTACAAATACCATGTCACGCTCCATGTTTCCAGTAGCCTTGTGATGCTTTCCATGGGAAATTTTCCATGAAAAGTAAGGGACGAGTAAAGCAGAGTGACAAATCCAGCCCGTTGTATCATTTAGTATCTTGGAAGTGGAAAAAGATTGATGTCCACACTCGTGTGCAAGAACCCATAGGCCTGTAGCGAATAATCCTTGAATAAAAGTATAGAATGCCCACAAAATGGTGCGAGCGGCTAGACTTGGCACAAATTCGGGTGTGACGTATTTTTTAAAAATGATGAAGGTAATGGCAAGACTTGAGATATCTCGAGCAACATAAGCTAGGCCTCGAATTCCAGAACGCTCAAAACAGTGTTTAGGAATAGCGTTACGAATATCATTTATACTGTAGTCTGGCACTTCAAATTTGTTGCCGTTAGTGTCTAATAGGGTGCCGAACGGAGACTTGTGGGAGAGATCCATAGAAGATAGTGATGATAAAGACGCTGAAGAAGCAGAATGTCGTGGCGAGTCATTTGGAGATGCAGCAGCTGTAGAGGGGACAGATTCTAATACATTTCTGTGATAGACGTTCTGCTGATGGATAGAAGAGGAAGACATGTTGGAGTAGTGTAAAGTTTTCTGAGAAAAAAATATTGTGCTGCGATGTGGAAGGGGTCTAAGTACGTAGGGGTAGGCACGCGTTGTGGATGAACTCTAGATTGGAAGTGATTGTTGGGGAGGGGGTAAAATAAAAGACATGGTAGAGTTTAATGAATGTATAATCGACGGGGGGGTGGAAGGGCTGCCAGGCAAGTTTGGCCATGATCCATCGAGTGGCCGGCGATCAACGGGTTTACCTGATTGTTCACTCCTCTGATTTGTGAATTAGAAGGCTTGCACAATGAGCAGGTGCATGAAATTGTTGGGTGAATGAGTCAGTGTCTGTGTGCGTAAGTGTACGTGTGTGCGCAGGACGTAACTGAGATTGATCCGGCAGTCATACACATATGTGTGTTCCATCCAATCAGGAGATGATAGAATCTCACGTTCCTCATCAGGTCATGCGTTGGGGCATCGATCCCAAAACTTAATCCTTGTTGAGCTCGCTTGACTTCCACCGATATTCCCTTCCGATAGTACAAGTCATGTGAGCTAATTATCCCGGAAAATCCTTTCAGGTACTACTCTTGACTAGCTGAAAGCAAGGCTAGAAGAAGTCCAGAAGGAGAAGGACTAACGGCGATGTGAACTAAAACGGCCATCATCTGATGTTTCATGCTGCGGAACGAGAACACAAGGGAAACCAAACTAAAGCTACTCGTCTTATGGAGATCAGAAAGCCCCATGGCAAAGTCAGAACTTCGACAGAGGGTAACCTACACTTGTGTATACTCGGAGTGACAACTTACTGTTTCTCGGATATGCTCTGCACAACGGCGGATAATATCCGAAATCAACGAGACAAGGGAAATGAAAGAGGGCCCTTGGCATTTTCTTGCAACAACCATTTCGTACTGCAAATTGAGAATACATAGGCACCTGTGGATGTCATAATGATAGATTTATTCCCACATGGCCGCTTCCCATTTGGGCGCCTATTTTGTTCATGATTTCATCGTTAGACTGGTGACATTACTTAAGTTACTCTGGCGTGATGCCTTTACAATGAAAATCAATATTACCTAATATAAAATTTCCTTCTCCTTACGTACATTATACATGACGGTCTTTGATCAGTAGGCTGGATTTCGTAAGTCAACATTGTTTTTTAATTTCAAACTTAAATCTATCAACTCACAACCTACTTCATGGAAGCGCCAGTACAGCGGTCCAGATTGTAAAGAATTTAAAATAAGAAATTTGTAACCTTTCAAGATGTACCACCAGGAATTTAGTTCTATGCTTTCTGGTGAATTAAAACATTTTATCTATCGTCTATGACCCTTTCATGCCGACGAAGACAAAACATGACCTTCCAACGGTTCCGGTGAAATCGCTCAGTACTCACTGCTCATCGAAAACACTATCATTTAGTCAAAAGCGGCACTACGTTCCATGAGCGTTATTTCATCGTTTTTATAAATTTTACCATCTAAATCAGTCCTTATCTGATTCCCCAATTTTTTATTGTTGCGTTTCTGCATGGCGAGTTGGAGAGTCAGAAAGGTGGGTTTCACGGTTGAAAATTTTTTCACGGCGCCACAACCACCACCAACGGACAGCGGAACCGCCGCAATTACTGCTGTGGAGTCTCTCGCGACCTCTACAGCGTCAACATAGCACATTAATGACAGAAGGGCTTTATTTAAACAAGGTCAGAGATAGACTGGTGATAGCAAGCACTGACAAATCTGCAACACCGATGGTCGAAATAGGTGAGGCACTCGATGCCTTCAAAGTCCACGATACAATGTTACAATCGAAGTTGAAGGCTTCACGAATGGAAGAACGCATGCTGGCCTTAGAGAAGGCAGTCAAGAAGAATCTCGAGGAGCCGTCGCACAAGACGGCTGCTTCGGCAGTACAATGGATGGGAGGGCGACCCACATACGCCTCAATCGTCGCCCCGCCAGCGACTAAAGCGGCTGTACGAATACGAATCCAAGGAGCAGAAAACATGGAGCCGGCAGCGCTCCTAGACAAGGCGAAAATACACATTGAGGGGGCATACGCATTAAGGAAGCTGCGGAGCAACGATACGGAGGTGTTTGTGCAGTCAGTCTCCCAGCGAGACGCTGCCTTGAGTATGTCGCAGCCAAAGGAGTTCTGCGTCTTGAAGCAGGATTCACCTGTTGAGATATTGGTGATCCCCTTGGGGACATTCATAAGAGGAGGAAAAAATCTAGAAAACGGCGAATTCATAAATCAAATTGTGGCTGAGACAAAAGTTCGGATCCCCGAACTAAAAATAAACAGGGCGAGATGGCTCTTTGACGGAAAGGAGCACCGATGGTTGGGAGCTAACGGCCATACTCGAGGGTCAATCGTCGCGAGTTTGCCGACTGAGGCACTTCAAGGCGAAGTGATAAGAAACAGCATTGTATACAACTCAATGCTGTACACGGCCCAGCTCTGGTCACCCCGAGCGCAAATAAAGCAGTGCTTCAACTGCTGTCAATGGGGGCATACCCAAGTCACTTGCAATAGAGCAAGGAGATGTGGTGAGTGCGCGGGTACTCACCAGACCAGGAAATGCCCGAGAAAGTCGGTGCTATGCTGCAACTGCGGCAAAGACCATAAATCTTGACAGAAGGGGGCGCGTCAAAACTTCGCGGCATACAAGGCCATCGTGCAGCGGGCACAGTATGAACTAATGGAGAGAATGGCGGAATTCAGGAAAGGGGATACACTAATAACGGCATCTACAATAACTACTACGGCAAAATCTACAGACGACCAAGGGTTCACACTGGTGTACCACCAAAAGCCGGAGGTACTAAAGAGAGGGCCAGGACGTGCGCGTAAACAGCTCCTGGTCAATCCCCCACAAGTATTTGGACCATCGGGGTCAAACTCAAGACTACAGTCGTCACTTTTCAGCCCGCGAGGGCAGGGAAAGGATGACGAGGTCAAATATAATTTTAGCTAGTCCTGTCTCGGACTGAAGGCCAATTGCACTTCCTACAGGTAACGAAGGACTATAGACGAAAATAAAAATAAATAGGGGGAGGGTGTTTTTATCGTAATGGTTTCCCCCTCGTGTAAATATATAGATAGGTTCTTAGCCGCCTGCATGGGCTCGCAGGGCGCCAAATCGGGTTAAATGAAATACAAATCAAATTACCCACTGCTCATCTGCGTCGAGTTCCGACAGCCGAAGGCCCCGGAAAGCTATACTTCCCACGTGGCACTCCAGCATCGATTCCATGAAGTCGAGAAAACGAAGCTAGGTCTGGAAGCATAAAGCGGTGGTTAGCTTCCCGCCCAGCTAACACAGTCTTCGCTTTCTCTGATGGATCATCATCGGGTCTCGGAAAATCATCCTGGGGGTATGTAGTATACCAAGGAGGCAAGCTAGTTACAAGTGGCTCCGGTCCACTTCCCGGAGCAGAGGTATTCGATGCAGAAGTTGTAGGTGCCATGAAAGCCTTGAAGGCTGCAATAGAGGTAGGAAAAAACTTACTGATCTGCATTCTTCTTGACAACCAAGCGGCCACCCAGGCGCTCGAAAGAGGAAGATCTAACTCCTCGCAGTCGGTGGTGGACAAGTTTTCATCGCTGAGACACAATAAGCGTTTGGAAATACGCTGGATACCCGGGCATGTAGGGATTCAAGGCAATGAAGAGGCCGATAAGCTGGCCAAATCAGCCTTGGGAGCTTCCAATAACCGGTCACTAACCTCAGCTGCGCCCATTCTAGAAGATCAAGATCTAACATTTGCGGCATTAGGGAGGTGGGTTAAACAGCGTAGCCAAGAGCTCGTGGAAGAGTGGTGGCAGAAGTATCGACCGAAACGATACAAAGATCTGGACCTATTCATGCGTTGCAAAAGACCACCGGAACTAGCTTTACCAAGATGGGCGTACCATCGTCTTATTGCGGCAAGAACAGGCCACGGGGACTATGCCGACTACCATCGACGTTTCAACCCCGAACATGAAGATCTGAAATGCGTTTGCGGCCGAGAGAAAAGGCCCTGGTATTTTTCAGAGTGCCGACCTGCTTTGCTACGTTGGAGAATCTATGAGAAAATGGCCCCACCTGTTGCCAGAGAAATGATAGGGGAGAAGGGATGGCAGAAGTTCATTCGATTCTTAACTACAAGCCGATGTTACAGTCTGCCGAAGAATGAACAAGGTGGGAGGTGACCACGCTGAGATTGTTTCTGACCCGAGAGTAGATGGGTGTGGAAGATAGGAATGCGGCGCAGGGCACCGTAACTCAGACACATACTGTTCTTCTTTTTCAATCTTTTCTTTTGTCGCTTCTGGCC